TTTTTAGCTCCATCGACTCTCCAAACATGGAGACCACGGACAAAGAAGGCAGGTATCTGTAGAGTGCCTTGTTTACTGCTGATCTGTGATAAGGCCACTCTGGGAATTTCTGCCCTACAGAAAAAGAGTGAAACTGCTTTCTGATTACACCATCTATCTGACCTACAGTAACAGCTGTGAAGTAGTACCTATTAACATCCATAGACCCTATCTTGGAGTCAGGGACCCTGAACTGGACTGGCTGGGGACAGAAGCAGTGGCAGTTGTCATTGCTACTAAAACCTCTACATTGTGCAATGTTACATTTTAATTACAAAGAGACCATTCTGAAAACTCTATTGCAGTTCTTAGAACCCAAAACAATAATTTCCAAGACACATTACTCAGTTAACTCCTGAGAGTCTGAATTGACAGTCTTCAGTTTGCCGTCGCACATGTACCAACAATTGTAAAAATTAAAAAAATCTCAACCCAGGAGCTCTGAGGAGAAAATGTCTAGAAGGCAGCAAGGAACACTACTTGAAGACAAAGTCACAAATAAAAGGATGCATCCTATGATGTACCACTAGTTTGGTGCAGGACAGCAAAAATCACTCAACTTCCCTTTCCAGAAAGGAACACCTACAAGGAATTAGTTAATTAAACTGCTTGTAATTAACAGATGATATTTGGATGGAAAATACAGCAAATTGCTACAGTTTCCTTGTAGTGCTAGAATGTATGTCCTAGACCCACAGTTCTGCAACGAAATACAAAATACTGTCAAATTATATTCCACTTACACTGATTATATGTTTCTTATAAAATTTAATGAACAAGGGCCTGTTAAAATAATTAAATTTAAATACTGCATTCTGTATCTTTATGTAAACACTGGCACTCAGTAATATCTAAAAGACTCCGAAAACACTTCATAACTTGCGGCATGTTTTTCCTCGTTTCCTATGGAAATAAGGCTACAACATCAGCCTGTCTGCACACCTCTGATCCAACACAGCAGTGATCTTGCAGACAAATATGGCTAACAGGCTCAAAATGCAATGGGTAAAGGACAGTCAAGTCTTCTGAAAAACTAGCAAATAGGATTAGGACAGCCTCAGCAGCAGAAATCCATGGACCCTATGCATCCCAGAAAAAGAAAGGCTCAATCTGGTAGTTCTGAAGTCAGTCACAAATCAGAAATGCAGAAGAAATGAGACGACTTGTCTTCTTTGCAGACTGACACTGAATTTGGTGAGGAAGGCAAAATGGAACATGGGATGGAAAAAAGATGAGGCAAGTTTTTGTTGAATCATCTAAGTGTACACAGACATCGCGCTGCCTAGTTTACATTACCAGCTTGTACTACAACACTACAAAACCTGTGTTAGAAAACATGCCCAGTTGTTCCTAAGGAAAAGCGCTTTCCTTCCAGAAACCCAGTAGTCCTATACAACACGTTGGCAGATAAAGTCTTTTCCAGAAGATATGCCTAATGCACGTTCCACAAGAGAGCACCATGTTTTCAGTACATGCTCTGCTTGCCACCTACACAATTCAGCTGAGAAGACCAGTAAGTTCAATGACACCCCAAAGAATGGTGCAGTACTGCACAGCACTGGTTCTCCACAAGACGCTAGCGTTCTGAAAGAGATGACTCTGACCTTTCTTTTAAGTGGTGTCCATAGGAGGTAGAAATCCAAATTGTGTAACTCTATCTTTAGGAAGGAAAAGTAATTTTTAAAATTAAAATTAAGCTTCCTCATTTAATAATTCTTTTTGTTGGCAATGATATTATAAGCCAAAACTATAGGATGTTGGGGGAACTTAACATAACTCTGAATGCCACTTATTCCACTTATAGGGATGTTTTTAGCATTGTCAATATCCAATGTGAAATGTAAATATCAAGCAAAAAATATACACAAGATTTTAACTCATTCCCAATAAATTACCATAAATTACTCTGTCTAAAGAATACTTCACAAATACGTTTTTTGGAGGGCAAAGACTTCCAGGCCCAAAAATCAAATACAGGATTCTTCTGATGAAGGAAGTTTCAGATTGGCAGTCACAAATAACAAGGCATATCTTATTTCCTCTATTTCACAACACTTTCAAGTGAAACACATGTCAAGGAATGCAACTGTAAAGACAACGAAATGTGACTGTAGACAAACAGTAAAAATTTTAGACGGTAAAAAATTTTTCTAACAATCAATGACAACAGTTTTACACTTTGAACCACTGCTCACTGTAGTATTTGTATACCGAAGTTCTTTAATACTGTTGAACTCTACCACTGTAATTGCTAATCAGTTCTTAGGGTTAACAATGTATATACCTAAATTTATCCCCAGTTGACATCACACTACTGCTACTCTACAGAGTCATTGCAAAGCACAACACTGAAAAAAGTAACTGCTGCCCTATATAATTCTTAAAATAAGCAATTTCAATCCAGCAGCTTTAACTTTCTCAAAAAAAAAAAAAAAAATCATTAGCAACTGCTAGAACAAATCAAGCAAATAATTTCTGGAATGTTTTAAAGTCATTTATTTCTTAATGTAAGTGAAGCTAATACTCGCACAGTATTGGGGGGTTTTTTATTTTAAAGATATACTAAAATTGACAAACAACTACTAAAATAACCCATTAAATATTTACAAGAAAAAAAAAATAATCGCAAGTTCACAGCACCATACCTGTGCCCTTGCCTGAACTTCCCCAAGGAGACCTGAGTACTGCTGTTCCAAATACTTTTTTTGTTTCTGCCAACAGCTTTCCTGTGCTTTCATCTGTTCAGCCATTTTGCTAAAAGCATCTTCCTGGCTCTGCTGAAGCTCCTTTATAGTATCAGACTTGTTCTTACAAGCATATTCTAGGTGAGATATCTGTGTGACAAGCATTTAACAAGAAATTCTTTTACCTCTCAAAACACCTTTTTACTATAGTTGTACATATTAATTTAAGTACAGATTATTCCACATAAAATCTAAATTGTCATTTCTTCAACATATTCACTAAAATTAAGTATAAGCTTTTCAAGACAGACTACTTACTTGAATCTTGCAACAAAACTGAGACATATTTTGGAATAATGAATTTTCCTTGGTTTCAGTTTTGCCATACTTATATGACCTTGTAGATATCTTACCTTCTTTGTTGGAAACCTTAACTGGACACTTCCCCTATTTTTTTTTTAAACAAGTACATTAAATCTTGTGTTCCTAAATTAGTAATTCCAGTATACTAGTCCTTTAGTAGTTTGCAAGGATTGCAAATAATAATGAAAAAAGAGCCCTTTTTTTTTTTTTTGTTTTATTGGAAAGCCAAGACATCCCATACATTATTAAGTATTAAAATAATTTCAGAAAATTTTAATGTACCAAATTTTTTCTCACAATTCACTCATTAGTTTATGATGTGTTTTTCAACAAGCACGAAGTGATTCAATCTGTGGTTTAACTTTGCAGTTCCAATGCAAACTAAATGGAGGAATAAATCAAGCTAACAATCAACTCTAAATACACATGCCTACACTTTGTTACTGGAGAATATCAGAAAGATACCTTCCAAATAGATCGCACAAAACTTCAAGACAAAAATTTTGTTCTCAGAAAGCAAGTACAATATAGGTAACAACACTGTCCCAAATCCCTGAAAAGCTGCTAAGTACATGAAAAGAGCCCTGGAGACCACGCCATCAATCTCAATATGCATAATAAATTAAAAATCAAGAAACAATAAGACACAAACCCCCCAAACACTGCCAACAGTGTTCACTCCCTTCCCTTCCATTCCCTTTACTCCTCTAATTCAAAAGGTAAACAGAAATTTACATCCAATCTGCATAATTCAGATTTTATACTGTCCCTCTTTAGTAACTTCCATTGAGCACCGGGGTATTTATTAAATGATGGGCAGTCAAAATGATTCACTATTAACCAGTCCTGTCCCTTATCAGGCCAGAAGAGCAGTCACAATTCCAGCATACAAGAAATGTCCGAAAGAGGTTTTCCCTTCCAGTGCCTAAAGAACAAGATGTCAGGGCAGCCAAGATCTGGAGTCACTCTACTAGAGTGTAGGACTGGTGTGATCAATGGAGCCAGAACATGAACTGAAATCCTAAAGACTGGCACATGTTTGTCTATGGAGCCAGTTTCAGTTATTTAAAAAGAGGTCTATTTTTTCCTAAAAACACAGAGATTTTTGTGGAGAAAGGCCACATAAGCTTATTCACATTAAAATAATTCAGAAATGTACAGCTTCTTCCTTAAACACATATTGACATGTTTTATAAAAATAAGCATTTGCTATTGTATTTCTGAATACAAATTTCATAACCAAAAAATTACAATTAAACAAAAAATCCACACTGGCATGTTTTCAGATAGTACCTCTGAATCATAAACATGTAATTTAAAGATTATATTCCTGGAGTAAGTGCATTTTGTTTCTGTTTCATGCTAAAATAAAGACTTGCTTTATTAGTGTAAATGACTAAGTCCTTTGAATTGCTTCATCAGTAAGATTAATTTATTTTCTTTTAATTAGGTCCCTGTGGCTAATATTGGCTAGTACTATTAGCATGTCCTGCACAGAAAGTGGAGCTTAGAGACTTCATACAGACTTCAGTCACATTTACATGCCCACAGCAATGGCATCAAACTGAGTTGTAGACAAGCCATAATTAATGGTATTGAATTATTAACGTCCAAATTCTTTTTGAAATAAGATGAATGTCAGTTCTTTTTAATGATACTGTGATGTGGACAAATGTCACTGAATTTAATAGAGGTAGCTGGTGCCTAAGGACACTTACCTTCTCATTAGCCCTGCTGAGGTCTAAGATCAGGGCATCAACATTCTCCTGCAAGACTGTACAAAGCTCAGGCCAAGAGAATCTATCTAGGATGCCTTCTGGTTGTTTTATAAGCACACAGCCTGCTACCAAACGCTGGTATAAGCTATGGAGGAAGGTTAGCTTCTCCTGAGAGAAAAAGAAAAATTAACTGTTATATTTGAACAGTGTTAGAATCCAAAGAGAGGCATCCTATGTGTAGTAATATGAGCTGCACGCAGCTGAAAACAAACCACAAAGCTCATTCTCAACCTTTTCAAAATTCCTCAATTCCTTGTTCATACTGGCAGTCATACATACTAAAGCCAGATTAAGAAAACAGTTTTCACAAAATTTTGTCTAATCAGACACAGCATATAAATAAAGCAAGCCCAATCCTGCAGTGGTCACAACCTGATACAGATAAAAATTTTCATGCTATTAGTAGATGCAATTTAATCATTCATGTTTACTCTTTCAGGTACATTCAAGTTGTACCCACTTCCAGCATCTGCATAGCACACAGAAAACTGATTGGCTTGGTAGCACAGCACACTGGTTATACAACTACCACTCGAAAGTCTTCTAGAAATTATTTTGCATTGATTATGTATGACTAAACAGCTAGACAAAATAGGCTTACAGCTTCATCAGTTAAATTCCACAAGCCGTGCCTCATTTATTTACACTGATTTTAGTCAGCAGTATAATAAATTGATGAAAGTTATAAATAAACTTCAGCAGCAACAGCATGCAACAGAAATTCCAGCCTTCATCATTTTAGTACATACATGCAATTTAGCAGCTTCTGATTAAGACAATAGAAAGTTGTACCTCAAAAGCCACAAGAAACAGAGCCTTTACTCAAAGTCAGTAAAACATTGTAAAAGTTGCCATAGTTTTCCATAGGCCTCAGATAAGGCTTTACATTAAGAAATTGTGGATGACCAAGATCACAGAATCACAGAATCGTTTGATTGGAAAAGACCTTTGAGATCATGGAGTCCAACCGTACCTGTCCACTACTAAACCATATCTCTGAGCACCTCATCTACCCATCTTTTAAACACCTCCAGGGATGGTGGCTCAACCACCTCCCTAGGCAGTCCGTTCCATTGCCTGATACCACAGAACAATGGTATATGGTTTTTCTATTACACTTAGAAGCATTTTCTCACAATTACTTAATGGTATTTTAGGCAATAAAAAATTGTAGTTTAGCTTAGTTAAACTTTGTTTCTAGCACATCTCCTAATTCCCCAAGGGAAATCCAGTGTGCCACCATCATTATTACATTTTTGCTTGAGCTGTGATAAACCAACGATGGCAATTATCCATTTGGCATGAAAAAAGGGATCCCAAGATCTCAAATCAATTCACACATGTTGAATGCAACCACAGTGCTGTAGACGTGCTGACTTTACAATACAGTCAGGCTTCTAGTTTCCTTGACTTTAATCATTATCTGATGTGTATAACAATTCCAGCTGCTTCATGTGGACCCTATTTAAATACCAGACTGTAAAAGAGGTGGAAAGAATGTTTCCTTTTTACTCATTTGGCATCCACATCCAAATTTGTGGAAGTAATTAGCTCAATATGCACAATAACTATGATAAAGAATATCATTGCTATTGCTAGTACAGAACTTCTCTATTAGGTGGGGGGAAGCACCAAAATTAACAAGTGTAAACAAACATAAGGTAAGAGAGAAGGCTTTGTGAAGCAATTCCCACATATAGCACACCTCAATGAGCTAACTGGTCACAAATAAAAAATTCCAGGTTTTGTGGCACACAGGCAAAACTACCTCAATTCCACTTTTTCTACCTATCAATTGCCATGTGAATCAGTAATTAACAACACATGATGATGATACTACTGTATGTTTCAACTACAGAACATTTTTGTTAACTTTCAACCTGAAAGAAAGAAATAATTGTTCATCAGGCGTAGCTGTTTAAATGAACTCAGTTGTTCAAAAATTCAAAATACTGAAAGGGTTAAGCTATTACTTCTGATATAGAAGGAAGGAGAACCAGTATGTCCTGAGATCTTGTAGATATTAAATACATATTTGAAAATATGTATCTTAAAATCCTATTTTGGGGATAAATCTGTTAAGACTAAGAGTAACCATCAGATGTATGTAAATGTATAAAGTTGAGATTAAATAAAGACTCTTTTTGACAGTCATCTTGTCTCTGGTAATACCTCCATATCCTTCTGGTAAGCCCTGGTAAGCTTCTGGATTTCATTTTCAGATTCTGTGGCATGTATTTTCTCCTCCTCCCAGCACCGCTGTACATTCTGTAGTTCCATTTTTAAAGTTCCTATTAAAGTCTCTCTGTCTGCACACTTAGTGTGCAGATGATTTAACTCTTTATTGGCATCAGACAGGTTATCCTGAGCTTCCTGTAGAACAGAGGCATGGAACAGAAAGGCTAGTAAGAATTTTGCTCTACCAAATGCTGCCTTGGTCCAGTGCTCAGCGTCTGAGGAAGCAAAGTGTCATATAGCCGCATGTGTTAAGAAGACTCCAGGGTAAGCTGACTGTATCTTGTCAATAATGGAATTTCAAAATTGACAACAGCTCTTCTCCACAGCTTGTAACTAAATGGCATCACAAATCCATCTCTGAGAGCTAAAAGTTCCATGATGCAGTGACCTTCAGAATCCTCTCTACACCCACAACTGAGATGCAGAATGCATGGATACAAGTTATCCTCTGCAGAGTAGAGAGCTGTCAGAGCTAGTGAAAAGACACATTATTTTTGTAAGTAAATCTCTGAGTTGTTACAGGTGAGTCAGTAGGCAACAGACAGCTGTTGTTACCCACTGTATTCTTTATCTGCATGATAAAAAAAAAAGAAAAAAGTGAGGACTCTGGAGATTTGACCATGGGAAGAAACTACTGATCAGAAACGGTCATAAATACAACCATTATCGTGCCAGTAACAAATCTCACAAGGTAAACAAAGAACTGAATACGCCCTTTTCAGACAAGAGATTGCTGAGATGGAGTAGACAGATACACATGCTTTCCTCTCCTACAAACACTGGACTTCCAGCACTGTTAAAGTTTGCTAAAGGTCAAACTGAAAGCATTGTTTGTTCTTCATAAAATCATAGCTGCTTATATAGGAAATATCATAGGAAAGATACTCCCAAATTCATCAGGCAATGACAACTTTTATTCTTCTTAATGAAAGTATAAAAACATTAAAGCAATGTTAAAATTCTAACACAACTGTTTTCAGACTGGATCTAGTTTTCACTCACATATAAAATTTTATTACCAAAAATTTAAAGATATCCAAAATTGGTGTACTGCATAAAAAACAGCACTGCCCATGAGCAGCAAAGCCAGTTTTTTCATTAAGAATACAAGTATCTGTTGCAATGGGTTGTAAAATTTTTAGATGTCTTACAAAGGTGCTGCAACAGAAGCAGATGTCTTAAGTCTTCTGAATGTAAATCAGTAAAGAAAGTTCAGCTCAGATTACAGGAGATCATGTGCTAGTATTAGTTAATATGAAGATTCAATGAGTGTTGCAGAAGTATCTGTGACTAAACTGAAGTGATAAAGCAGCATATCCCAGGAAAAGAATCTGAAAAACGCTGGGTGTAGAGACATTCTGTTTTGGCAGTAATATGATACACTGCCAGGTGGGAGATGAAGTTTAACCATGACCTCAGGACTTCCTCACTCCCTTGGCCATTGATGTAACCAGACAGGACATTACAAAAGCAGTGTGCCAGCCAAAAACAGAAAAAAAAAAATCTTGTTCAGAAACTAAAGAAAAGGGTTCTTGAGTGTTTTTATCAGCTCCCAGGTAGACTTTATTCTAAGAAATTTTGGGCTGCACATTGTACAACTGTTAAGGATGACCTGATACTTCATACATACATTAACTTGCCTGATAAACACAAACAAACAAACAAAAATTAACAAAGGACACGACATCTTTAATAAAACATGCTTCCATATCAACAGAGGTAATTAAATTATTTTCTCCTTTTCTTGAGAAAAACAGTTAAGTGAAAAAAAAGACTGATGCCAATTTCAATATAAAACAATACTTTGCAAATTGATAAATGTATTTTAAACTATTTCAGAAGTGCAACCATTGAAATTATCAGTAATGTAGTCCAAGGTGGTAAGCAGAATAAAGCAGCATTGCTCACACAAGCTTACAAGGTAAACCTGTCTGCTCCACAGAATAAAATGATACAGAAACGTATTCTGATAAGAAAAAAAGATACTTTAAATCCAGAAAGACACTTTTTGCAGAACTTTCAAATTTTAAGTTAAGTTCATGAAACCATACCTTAAGGTCTTGACTTAAAGCACACATTTTCTCTTTGGATATCTCAAGTTCTTTTGTCATCTTCTCACACAAAGCTTTCATTTTCCCAAGCTGTGAAAAATACAGAGGTCAAACAGGCTTTTACAGAAAGACTACATAATCACTTGAATATAAAGGAAGAATTTTGTATCTAAAAGTAAAAAAAAAAAAAAGTTTTAAATTCCTTTGACAATATTTATACTCCATACAACCTAAATAATGTGCCATTGCAAAAGCACTAAATAACTGGTTTATCATGATTTAAGACATATATCAGTGGTAGAATCCCAAACTGAGTCCACTATTAACTTTCCCATTAACTCTCGAATTATCTGACAAAAACACAGACTTTTAAATGCATTTGAAAATGTAATAAATTCAGATTATGATCTGACAACTGGTTTGAGAAAACAAGTTTTCAAAGTCAGTGGCCACTCACAGAAATTGTCCAGGTACAAGCATGATCTCTACTTTTTACTGAGTGCCGGATAGTACTCATATACCTGCAAAATGCAGTATGTTCCCAAGAGGCATGGTAATTACTGAACTGTTTGTGGTGCTATAAGGCCATGATATGTATTAGCTTCACTTTCCACTTTCAAAAAAGATAACAACACATCATTATAATCTGTACCTTTGGTTACCTGATGATGAGGTTAGCAATATAAATGTCTGAAAGAAAACACTGAATAGAAATGTATTATACCGCAGGTTACTGCCGGCACTTGAACATTAAGGCGCAACTCAGAAAGAAAAATATCCCATTTATGGAATTTACAAATTACTTTGGAAACTATTTTTGTTCGATCTCACATCAGGAGACCTGGCAGAACCCTTAGAAATAATTAAAGAATGCTACTGGAATATTTCCAGACTTTTTGTTGGTTTACTAGCCTTCTCTCTCCCCCCAAACATATTCTATCCTCTGCACTGTACAGAAAGTCAAAGCTTGTTAACTGTCAAAAACAAAACACTTATACACCTTTCAGTCACACAAATTAACAAGACTATTTAATCTAACATTTAACACAGTAAGTTAAAGGTGAAACATGACCAAGTTTACCAGCATACTTCACATGTACATACAGGTGTACACATATATTACCTCCATCAGTATGTGGGGTCTTGTTGAAAATCTCTCTATAAAAAGAACCACTACATAATTACTGAAAACTAAACCCTTACTGCCATGTATTAAAACATCCTGTTTTTATTGCACAGTGCCCTTCATAGTCCCTTTGTGCACTATTGTATTATTAAAAAGTTTTATTACTAAACATATCTAATATATAAAAAGTCAAAAGCAGAGTTATCTATGGGGGCAGGGGTAATCAAGAAGGACAGAGCACTGCCCTTTCTGTGCACTATGAAGGTGCTCAGTGATCTCTGGCTCTGTATGACAACTTCAGGGTCAGTCACACACAGTCCTACTGGGAAGTCCTGTGGCAGGTCATCAGTTGGTCCTGCTCTGCTTGCGATTTATTTTCCTTGACAGTTCATTCTTCTTTCTGTCAGAATACTCTCTTTGCTTTCTTAGCAGCCACCCCCTTGGTCTCCCCACTGCTGTCTCTGGCACAGTTTCACAACAAAGCACATCACTAAGCCAAAGCCTGCTGAGTCGACTTCTCAACTGTGCTGCCTATCACGTGACATTCCTCCTCCCAAATAACAATTCGCTGTGGGTAATATGTTCCTAGTTACTCTGCAGCTTCCAGACCCGGGTCTCAGAAGAGTTTCATAATGACTATACACATCGGTTCTCTTATCTCTCTGGGAGAGACCTAACAGTGCTTGCTGTTTACAAAAGTATAATTGTTTCCATGGTCACTTATTTTTGCGCCCATTGAACAAACCCAAAGGTCTTGTGGGAGACCATTCTTTTCCCAATAAAAGGGGCCAAGCAGATATATTTTTCTTCTGGATTTTTCTAGGCTTTGGTTTGTTGTTTTGTTGTGGATTTTATTTTAAAAAAACAACCCAAAAAACATTGTGAGTGACTAGCTAGACCATGCAATTGTCAAAACAAAAAGACAAAACCTAGAAAAGAAAAAACAGTAGTGGTATTTTTACAATCTTATCACACCTTGCCTTTTTGTATTTGTCAATTTTATTCAAAGATAAGCTGATTACAAGTTTGTACAGAAAGCTGCAGTTAACTTCTCTCTGCAGCTTTTAAAGCCACAAATTCATAAAACATTTACATGCAAGAGGATTAGTTTAATCACATTAGCAATACCAATGAGAAAATAAATGCAAGATTGTGACTTTTCAATCAGTGAAATAAAAAGTCAGTATGACTGCATGAAAAACATTTGATTTTTTTCAAGAGTAAGACTTCCAAAATTGAAATGTTTCCATTATTGTCTTAGACAACTTAAAGAAAGTATTGTCATGGTTCTATTTTATTTGAAAAGACCTCAAAATAGCACCAAGACGGATTTAATCATAAACACAATGACCTCAGAAAATTATGACACTTTTAAAATGTAGAAGGGCAAGCACATTTACATAACCGATACTAATGACTGTTGAGGCTCGAGCGTCGTATATTTAGGAATACTGTGGTATATACACTGTCCAACTCTTAAATCATCATCTTTTAACTGAAATCCTAGATACAAATGGCTCATTTTCCTGAATGTTTATTGAAAATAATAACACCAACAGGTATAATAAAAAACTAAAACCAAATTAAACTGAAAAGAAAAAAATCAAAAACCTCTTCTTCATGTGTGCCCAAAATGTAAGTGAAACTTCACTGTAGGGCAGGCTTAGAGAAATAGTAGTGACAGGGATTATTTCTTTGGCTATACATGAAGCTGTCAACTCAACATTCACACTCTTCTGACCTTTTTTACAAGCAAAGTGTATGTACTGCTGCAGGCCAAAGGCGATACATATAGAGTCAAATAGTGTAAGTGTTACCTCATTAGACGTATCTTCCAGCTTGTTCTGGTAAGCTGTCAAGGTACACCTCAAAGTCTCAAGGACAGAGAGGCTTGGAGGTTTATCTTTGTCCTTACAAGTGCCTGAAGAAAAATACAGAATGAAAATTAGGCCTTAAAGCCACAGAGAGAAAACTACTCACCCTGAATGAGAGGTATGAAAATTAGTTAGGGCTTCAGTGACAATACAAAACACTGAACAGCAGCCCTGTTTGCCACAAGAGATGCAGCTGAATAGCCATACTTTCACAGTAAATACAGCTGAAAGACATTTGTATAAAAGCTTTAGCACACGATACAGAACTGTAAATTCTGGATTACATTTTAACCTAATGTATTTGGTATGCTGTCTGGCACATAATTTCTACTGTGGTCAAGTCTGTGTCATGTTGTCAGACCCGCCAACTTTAAAACCACACAATAACATGCTTAGAAAAACATGTTGCCTGAAAGCTAAGTATGTTACACTTTTCCTGACATTATTTTGCTGTTTTGACTAAGCATGCATTTTATAATGTAGTACTTCATATACTCAAAGCTTTACTGAGCCAAAGATCACATGACTATGTTATGTTTGGAGAGGTCTTAAAAACATTTTAAATTATCTTGAATTTCATTCCAAAGGAAATAATAAAAAAAGTTACTATCTGTCTGCACAGTCGTACATAACGTTTCAATTATAAATCTTAAAGCTGATATATCCATTATATACACACTACACTTACTTATTAAACCTTTAGATGGATACTTCTGATCTGGGTGATTTAATTAGGGACATACGAACAACTTTGTGCATTCCAAAGCCCATAGTACAATGTGCTAAGAAAGCAAAACAACACTGTATTGATCAACAGGTCACGAGATGTCAGCTGATATTAAATTTCCAAGAACAAACTATTCCTTTTTTCTGGTGTTACAGCAAAATAGCAGGTTATTGGCAGATTCTTCTTCTTGGCATTATTTATATTCGTATGCAGCACCTAGAATCATAGAATGAATCATAGAATGGTTTGGGTTGGAAGGGACCTTAAAGATCAGCAGGGACACCTTCCACTAGACCAGGTTGCTCAAAGCCCCATCCAACCTGGCCTTGAACACTTCCAGGGAGGAAGTGTTAAACTTAATTTATACTAATGATAGTACCATTTTTTCCACAAGTCTTAACATGTTCTATAAGCAAAACTAACTTTACCAATGGTAATAGCATCCTTATTTTGCAAAAATACAAACAAAAAAACCCCCAACAAATACACCTGTGACATTTGAACTGCAGAGGGACTAAACATTCATAACTCCCAGCAGAACTACATGATGATACAGGTGTTTATCACCTTTGAAAAGTCAGTGTCACTAAGCAATTTACCTAGGGAGTCTCACAAGTCAAATCGGCTACTGAACTCTCTTTTCTTTGGCTCTCCATAAAATTTTGTCAGCTAGAGGAGGTATATTTACAGACTTGTAGGTTGTTTTGGGTTTTTTTTAAGAGTACTATGGTTAGTGTTACCTAATAAGCGTGATAATCTACTCACAGCATTATACAAAAATGATATGTTTGTCCTGTAGGCTATACATAATGCACCAAGTCAGTGGAAAACTTAGATGTATGCAGAAGTTGGAAAGTACTGCCAACAGTGGTTATGAGAAAATCTTCAATTTATTGCGAGCCTCTTCTCTCGCAGCTCTTTGATAATACCCGAAAGCATAGAGTATTATTCAGATTGGACACTAACCTTTCACTTTGACTGGCCAGCCAACTTTTACTGTCAAAGTCACATCTAGTTAAACTAATGCAGGTTTGCAAGACTGCTTTCAGAAACAGGAGCAAGAGTTGCTCTACAGTACACAAGTGAATTTAAGAAGAACGCACATCCCAGTGACAGACTTCTGCTCTGTCCTATCAGCCACTCCAGTGGACACTTATTTACCACAGTTTCTAAAGGTCTACAGAGGCAGGGAAAAGCAAAATCTTCATAATGAGACTCCAGTGCCCTTAACCAGACCTCCAAGTCCTCGAGATGTCCCACTTAGCAATGTAACACTTACAATCAACCTAAAAAGAATTTGTAAAAACTGATTTTTTGTGAGAAGTTTAGATTTCACATTTAAGAAAGGGACTAGTAACACCTTACTATCATTTTTATCACTTAACCACAGCTATAGTTTAAGGTGCACAGTGCTCCAGTCCTATCTTCTCAATTACAAGAGTGACTTCTCACTACTACCCACTGTAGGAATATTTTGCAGTAATCATGTTCCACAGAAAAAATAAAGTACTATTCTTCCATACTTCTAGCTCTACAGAAGTTGTATCTCACGATTCTCATTCTATTTAAAATAATATCTATTAAGTCAATCTAGGGGTTGTCTTCCATCCCACAGTTTTCATCAAGCTAAATAATGTATCTTCATTTCTAAAGTCCCAACCTGCAATGCTGTCACTGAAACATGCCTCTGAACTACCTTAATTTATACCATGTTTGCCAAAACCAGACTTCTGCCAGTAAACTTCCCATGCTGGCTTTCCTTGCCTTTGCTGCAACCCTATTTTCTAGGCAGCACAGTCTGCCAACAGAAATACCAGATTTTACCTTCCTGCTCTAGCTGAAAACAAGCCTATGGCTTTAATACTGGTCAAATGTGGTCTGTCTTTATACAACTATGCAGGAGACATGCAACATAATCCAAACAGCACTCTCTTGCCAGAGAGGCCCTACTTCAGCAATGAGCAAAAAAAGACCAACCAACCCACCCATCAAAAATACAATACTTGAAGGAAGCATTTGTCCAGTATCACCTAAGCATTTGGGGGAAGAATTCTGGGAAAATGACAGATTCAACAGGAGTTTGACAGGAAGTGAGTACATTCTTAAATCTGGTGCTTCAGATTTTCTACTAACAGTACTGGGCCTGGCTAGGAGAGAGTTAAGTTTCTTCATAGTGGCTCTTATGGTGCTGTGTTTTAGATTTTTGATCTAAACTGTACTGGTGGCCAACACTAAACGGTGACACTAACTCAAAGCAGCTAACACTCTTAGCACTTTATACTTAGTTCACCTTTTTTTCAAGATTACTACAATCACATATTTTTTCTTCCCTGAAATGAAGACAAACTTCTCTGTCAACAAACTCTGATGCTGAATAACTGCAAAATATGAAAAACTGAACAGGGACAAACTGAAATAGCACAAATTTCCCAATAAGAGTAAGAATGATGTGGAAAATTTATGAAAGTCACTTAAAAAGGAGAAGACACAAATTAGTGCTTGTTATTTTGGAACATATAAAGAAAAAAATAACTTCTAAAATACTTTGGTTTTTAATCTAAAAACCATAAATTTTTCTTTTTCCTGTATAGCCCAATAATCATAGCCCAATCAGCACTTAAATGAAGAGGTTGTACCTTTAATATTTAAAGATTTTAAAGTACATCTCTCAACTACTTGAGCTGAAAGTTAAAACCAAGAAAGAAAGACTGCCCAGCAAGTTGTGGCTCATGTAGCCCCTCATATGCTAATGAGACCACAAAGATTTACCTACATTTTTACTTTTATTGGCACCTAGGCATTTTCATTACAAATATGATTAAACTTCTTATTGAAAACTGAACAAAATACTGTTACATAATAAATTTGAAAGTACAACACAGAAAGGTAATAACATTAAAAATTTATGTTGCACACTTAGAAGCATAGTAAATACGTAGAACAAATGTCTAAGTCAACATCCATTTTAATATTAGGCATAAAGACTCAATCCACAGCAGAGCTACATTTGACCTTCTGCCTCAACTGAGCCTCTGCACACATGCTGAAGGTAAAAAAAAATAAAATTCTTTAAATAAGATCTCTCAAAGTTTACCTAAACAAAGCAAATTAATACTGAAGGTACTGTTACTGAATCCCTAATATTACAGAAAACAGGTCAAAGCTGTTTTCTGCAAGGTTTACCACTAGGGAGAACAGAAAACCTACCCAAAAGACAATTACTGCTTTGGAAACTGCACTTTGGCAGCAGCATCCAGCTCCCCCCAGAATTGCTGAAAACCCTCTGGGCACGTGGAACTTAGCAAGATTGAGGAAAACGTACAGTTTTGAACTTTCAGTCTGATGTACCTACAGTAAACAGGTTATTACCCACAGGAATTAGAATTATAATTACAGAATAAAACTGATATCAGTTCCCCAAAAAAATCATATAGCCCATATGAGGGCATCTATGCATCACAGATTCAAGACTAGGCTTTGAACAGAAATCTCAAGAAGTTCCTTTATAACAGTATCAGGTCCTAAAAAAAAAAAAAAATCTCTCTGTGAAGATACAGGAAAATGCATCTTAATTTAGAGGTGTTACGTAACCCATTTATGTCTACTGCTGCCAAAGAGTGCAGAAAGATATAATCACAACTTACACAGAATAAACTCATTTGCTCTTTAACATTGTGCCTGTTTTCTTCCAGTTTACTTGAAGTGTAAATTGGAAGAATTTTGTGTCTAGTATGTGATTTTCTAACAGGAACCACATAGAGAAAACTTTTATATACAGCTTTAAATGAAGATTTTTAAAAGTGTACTATTTTCACCTTTAAAGAAATTACTATCTTTGATGTTAAAGTTCAGCTTGTTTATGTTAGCCACTATTTCAAATATTTACACAGGCAGCAGTTTGTTGATTTTGATACAATAATTACATATAAAGCTAGGCAGCAGAGTGACAACCACTGACTTACAATTAATTTTAAAGGAAAGAGAGAAATATTTGTTCTTTATTAGATCAGATTAATGCAATACTGTACCAGTCCACAATCAACAGTAACAAGTATTGTGTTATATCATGTGTCCTACAAAACCTTTTTGAATATATGACCTTTAAGTTGCTGAAGGTTGCCTCAGAATTTGGCTCAGTTCAGGCAAAACATCTGTTCCCTTTGCAGGTATACTGTAAGGACTTTTTTCTCAGTTGGATTTGGAGCACAGCAAGTGAGCCCTTTTCTGACCGATCATATACACCCCAGCATTTGTAAATCAAGCTCTGGGCTGACAACAGCAGGTCCACATTCCGTCACCCTTTCTCAGCTAGCAAGGCCATTTGACTGCTGTGAGAACTGCTCTTATCATGTCATCAAATCAAAGCATGTTGAGAAGAGGGAATGCAAGAGGCATCTGCAGAATTCCCACAATGTAGTGACTTTGGAACATTGACAGATGCATCTGTCATTTTATACCTTCAACTAACCTGCTGTCCGCTGGCCTGACATAGCAAAGCTGTCCAAGAGTAACTCCAGCTCTCTCATGTTGTTTTCATACGTCTCTGTTAGAAAGACCTGGTGTTTCTTGGCCTTTATTTGACAGAAGAAACAGACAAGACAAGAGGGGAAAAAAAGAAACTCATTAAAATAGTAAACAAAAGAAATACAGATCACACTGGTATTTTTGTTCTCCTTTAAATTGAAATTCCTGATATACTTATTACTCCTTTTCTTGAGCCAAGAGATCTAACATAACATCACAAATAAGTAACACAGAACTCTGAAACATACTTAAAGTAGAACTAAAGGCTTCACATAGTAAAAAAAAAAAAAAATTGCTGTACTAAAATCTAGTCTTGATCTTCTTCTGCTTTAAAAATATCTTAATGAACATTAATTAACTGCTGCCCATCTACGCAAGCAATGAAATCTATTGTTACACCCTACAAGGGCATCCAGAAAGACACCAAACTACTGGCAAACAGGCTAGAAATTCATAATTTGGCACTCAGTCAAATCCCAAACCTATTCTCATTGCAAACCTGCCTACTTTGTTAATATCTTCCATGCTTGATAGTGATTTCTTCAATATTAAAAACTCCTCCTTATGCAGGGCAGAAAGGCATTACAGCAGATATTTTAATCACTACAATAGAAAGACTGTATCACTTCATTCTTTCAATTTCTATCTCGTATTAAAACTTGCAATTTTCAATGATATGCACTCGTAATTCCAGACAAGACCAAGGTCCTCTTGGACATACACAGCTCTGACTTCTCAAAGAAATGTACAATTTTAGCAGCTGACAAAAAGTAATACACGTCAGCAGTTTAGAAAACAAACAAACAAAAAACCAAACCCCCCAACAACAACCCTTCCTCTCAAATCAAGAGAAAATCAATTTTAAATAACTTCACGATTTTCTTACGACAAAGGTTATGCTCAAAGACATCTCATTACTTTTAATTACTCAATTTAGTTTTCTTCTAAATTCTAACACCTATTTGAGTAATTTCCATTTCTACTTGGTGATGAAAGGTTACCCTTCTTGTATTGAGAAAAATCCTACTGTTTTCTATTATATCTACAAACTATTATTTTAGTTATGCTTCACTGCATACGTAGGGATCCAGTCAATTTCTCAAGTGTGGGAAACATCCTCCCCAGGAAAACTGCTACATAGGGGGATCATACAACTGTCAGGCTAAAAACCCAATAATTGCATTTAATTCTCCACAGTGTTCTTCACTATTCAGTTTAAATATTTTATAAATTTGCTTTACTCTTTCAATTTTAATTATACGTACTATATATCAACTAATATATTATTCATATGTGTATTTCAATGTTAGGTCCCCTGTAGCATTTACACGCCTTTCCTTGTGTGAGGGTTTTTACTGCACTTCTAAAGAATTTCCAAGCCATTTATATACATTCAAAAATAACTATGTTTTAATTGTTACTCTAAAATTATCTCTATAAATAGAGCTTGTAATTGCTGAGGTCCAGTAAAAACATTTTATGGGATGCAAACAAATTAAAAAAATTTATTCTCACGTACTGATATCATCTCAAAGACCTCACATATTACAAATTAGAAAACGTAACAATATGATCAGCATCAGAATAAAATAAATACTCTTTTTACATAAACCGCTCCAGCAAAGACAAGGTCAGACTAAACCTTCCCAGAAAAACCTTTTTTTCATGGAAAAGTCAAATGTGAGAATTTTTTTTCAGTTTCCTCATCCATTTTTTTCTTTTGGTTTAGTTAATTTACAACAATTTAGTCAGTACATTCCAGTCTATTCAGCCTTCACTACTTCTCTGTGCTTTATCTGCTAACTGCATCCACACTCCCTAAGCCAATTTCAGTCTCTTTTTCAATGGCAATAAACATCAAAAGGAAATTCCGTAGACTAGCCACTTTCTCTACACTTCAGCTGCGAAGTATTTAGTATCATTCCTTTCTAACTTCCATTTTCAATCACTGTCCCCATTATGAGACACTGAAGAAAAATATATAAAACTACAGTGCTAGAAATCTAGGCACAGGTTAAGAGTCCAAAAGAGTCCGAACATATCAATCTAATTTCTTATGTCTCACTGACAACTATCTAATAAAAATGTGTAGAGTCACAAAATCATGGAACAATTTAAGCTGACAGGATCTCTGGAAGTCATCTGGTCCCACTCCTCACTCAAAGCAGGGCTATGCTTGAAGTCAGGTTAGGTTGCTCAGAGCCTTGTCCAGTCAAGTTTTTAGTATCAAGGATGGAGTTTCAACAACTCCTCCAGAAAACCTGTTCCAATATTTCACAATCCTCACTGTGAAGTTCCCCCCTCTAACAGGCAATTAGAATTTCCCTCTCTAAAACTTCTGCTTTCTCTCATACTCTCACTGCATAGCTCTGAGGAGAGTGTAGCTCCATCCTCTCCATCAGCACCCATTCAGTAGTTTGTGGCAGTAGCTGTAACTTCCTCAGCTTTCTTTTCTTCAGTTTGAACAACCACAGCAAGTATACATAACTCTTTACTTTGAAAAGGAAAATGGAGTCCACAAGTGTAGAAGTCAAACAAAATCAATTGCAGGTGCTGGAAGATAATCTTCTGCCAGATCCAGCTATTCCAGGAGATCAGATTACTTCCCTCCAAGGAACTCCATCCATCATCATATTTGTGTTATGGGATGCCATTACTGTAGAACTACAGGAAAGGTAATAGTGTGAGTGTTCCCTAGATTAAATAAAAGGGAAATCAGGTGACAAAGTGCTAAAGCCTTTACTTAAAGAGAGTTTGCTGGCCCGACCACATTAGTAGAAACAGGTAGAAAGAACACTTGTAAACTAACTGCTAGCTTTGCTTGACTTCCTGCACATCAGAATAGACCATTGACCTTGGAGGTCATCTTTGAAAATTATCTTGAAAATCAAAGGTTGCAGGAGGCCTATATGGATGCACAAGGAGTTCATAGAGTTACAGAATGGTTTGGGTTGGAAGGGACCTTAAAGATCATCTAGTTCCAACCCCCCTGCCATCAGCAGGGACACCTTCCACTAGACCAGGTTGCTCAAAACCTCATCCAACCTGACCTTCGACACTTCCAGGGAAGAGCATCCACAGCTTCTCTGGGCAACCTGTTCTAGCATCTCACCACCCCACAGTAAAAAATTTCTTCCTAATATTTAATCTAAACCTACCCTCTTTCAGTTTAAAGCCATTACCCCTCATTCTATCACCACCTGCCCTGACTAAATTCAGATATTAACTGGAAGCATAAAGGAGCTGGAAGAAGGCACAGGTGACCTAGAACAAATATAAAGACACTGTCCAAGCACAGAGGCATATGCTTAGAAAAGCCAAAATCCACCTTAAAGTTGAACCTGGCAAGGCAAGTGAAGGGCAACAGGAGAGGCTTCCTGAAGTACATAACCAACAAAAGGAAGATAAGGCAAAATACAGGCCTGATGTTGAATAGGGCAGATGTAGAACCTCCTTCAGGAATCCCAGGTCCCTGAGATCAGTGGTGAAGTCTTCTTGTGAAATTTGCACAAATATCTGATAATTTAAAATTCCTGAAATGTATTAGGACTATTTCCTATAGCCCCCAAACACCATTTCCTCTCTCACAAAATATTCAGAACAGGAGGCTAGAAACCAAACAATATGGGAAGAAAATCATACTTTCTGAACCCAGAATATATGCTGAATTGCAGCACATGCATTGCTTCCCCAAGCCAAACTCTGCATCCTTAAGAAAGCTCCAACTATCACAGAACATCCCTTGAGGACAAAAGAATTTCTGATGGAAAAATGTGTTTGGCAACATATTTACTTAACTATTAACTTTCAGACACAACCACACTTTTAAAGAAATTAAATAGAAGCCCAAGTATTTTCCATTAGAAGTACTGCAGGCTCCAACCAGAAGAAAATCTTTTTTCCAAATGCTTTATATGCTTATCCATAAGGATAACCAGAACTATTTGGAAAACCTACTACTTATAATAATTATTCCACCCACTGTCAGAATTACGCTAATCTTTCAGAAGCAGAGTATTTGCGTTTATCTCAGCAATTCCTTACTACCTTTGTTACAGAGGTATTTTCCTTAACTACCAGGATTCAATTTTGGTATGATTCCATCACCTGTTCCAGGAAAGAAGAGTCCCACTGATTTTTCAGCATTTTCCAAAAGCCATTGTTGAGTAGAATAAATGCAAACTTTATGCACACTTCCAGAATAGCCCACATGACCTGATACAGCAAACAAGTTCAGTAACATTTACAAAATAAACACATATGCAGGAGTTTGAGGCCTTTTCAAAATTAACTTATCAAAACCCCAGCCATATTATGGAGGGAACCGGGGTCCAGTTCTGCAACAACTGCCATTATTCCAAAAGAAATTTTTCTCTACTTTGTTTACAGTTACAAGGATTAACTTGTGTGGCTTTCTTGCACATGAACTAATTCACCCACTCGGGCTGCAGTATAAATCCCATCTGGTGATGGCAGAGCAAAAGACAAAGCCAGAACTATCCACATAGCCACCAAAAAGCAGTATGTTCAGATACTCCTTGAAAAGCATTTGGGTAAATTCTCTAAAAAAGCATCAGAATGTTTACCAGGCATGACCTTCAGGGAACCTTCAGAATCAAGGTAAAGTAAGTGAAAGTATAGAAATAGGGTCTCAAAATGACTGCTCTACAGTTAACAAAAAATGGGTTTGACTTGAGTGATGTTCTGTATAGCAGAATAGTGGCACAAATTTTAAGCGAACAAGTATAGACTGCAGTATAAAAAACAAAGCAAAACCCTCATTGACAATCTCCCTCCTTAGGCTACCATTTATTTTTTGCTCACATTATCTAATTACTGAATAATTAATAGAGTTTTTCTATTTTCTTATGTTAGCTAGGATTTTGCAAAGTCTGTGAAGAGGTCTTTAAAAAGTGTCTAACCATGTGTAAATTAAATATAATTTCTCAAGAAATTTAGTGTTTCCGTTTTAACTACAGAATGTTATGAAATATGACTTTGGGTTTTTTTAGGCTTGTCTTATTTTTTTTAGTCAGATAAAATTTTTCCAGAACTGGCACCTTTAGATTTTTTAGATGCCTGTCTTCAAACACTGGGACATCACAGCTTGAGTGACTTCTCCACTTCCAGAATAAATTACAAAATTGGTTTATTTGTAGAAGGTCATTTAAGCATATGCTTCAGACTTACTGGTCTTCTTAAATTCGGACAACAACAGAAGTAGCATCTGGGTAGAAACACTCCACCCCTGCGTTAAGGCATGCAGAATAAGAATCAAGGTAATGTAACTCACCCAAAACAAGAATCAAGGTAACATAATATTTAACAATCATTAGGACAAGATTAATGAAGACTGTGTCTCAGTTTTTTTAAACTGAAAGAAAAAGCTTCGTTCACAATAAATTGGCTGGATGAGATTTACATATTTGCCATTGAGTACCAGAGTCTGCTCCATCTAATTTGTAGGACAGAATCATAATCTTCAGGGTTTTTCACTGTCTGTTTAGTCAATACTTAAGACACTTTTGTTAAAGAACAATGGTTAATGCCCATGTCCAGGAACTAGATTATCAAACACTTCTGTTCTGACTTTCAGCTTAAAGTAACCTACAAGGCTGTGACAGACAGCCCAGACGCACACAGCACACAACTGTATGCGTGGCTGTAAGAGAAACATTTATATGCCACACAGAAAAAGACAGGCTCTGAGTGTAATCTATTACACTATTTATACACTAATTATGCTACTCCTGATAGTATCTATATAAAGATGAGGAAATCAATATACAGTTCTTCACAATTAAAGGAATTTTTACCAAAATATATTATTTTTAATGACTTTATTTTCTTAATATGCATTGTGGTGAATTGGCAACTTCCCCAAATTTCAATATACATTTCTCATAAAATAAAGGTTCAACGTCTCCCACTTGTCTGGTACTAAGAATTAAATATCTTCCATTACTAGGTGCCAGAAATGTAAATATCCTTAGTAACTTTAAAAACTATTAAAGACACCTCTTATTCTTTCCATGGGGCAGGAATACAGCTGGGGCTTTCAATTTAAAACAAGTTCTGAATCACAATGGCTATCCTTCCAAATTCCTATTCTTCATGCTAAAAATTTCTAAAAACCCTAGCTGGAAATAATGACAAGCTTGAGACCAATTTCCTCAGAAAAACATAATGGAAATCTTGAGAACCTGCTCATGCTGAACATTCATAAGCAGTTTTGTTTGATACCAACAGATCCTATCACATTTGATCCATGCAAATTTCTGGCAAACTTCTGCCACATGCTGATATTTAAAATTAAAAGCAGCATAACTACTTTACTATATACATTCAACTGAGTCATAAAAAAAAAAAGTGCTGTTCTTTTTCATATAAAGTTTCCAAATAACCTAAGTCTACTTCACTAAAAACAAAGAGCCTTCACTGGTTTGGTTGTATTTCCCAAATATTTTACAAACAAAAACATTACTTTGTATTATAGCATTACAATGATAAACCAATATAAGATTACCAGACTGGAGTGGAAAGGGCATATTCAGGATGTATAATGATAGTGTAAAATGTAAGAAAGTAATTAATAGATCAAGAAAGCCCAAGAGGGGAATTAAGGGAAGAGAACGCAATGATATTTTGACACAATTTCAGTATGGGTATAGGGAAGCCTTGTAACAGAATATGAAATCTTATCTATACTTGGTTTCTGCTAGTCTTCTGCTTTTTCATTTTGGGAAGAAAAATAACAAAAAGCTGAGTGTCTCAGTCCAGACTGAGTAAACAAGACCACACACAGGCACTCCTGCTTCCTAAACAAACACGAAAGTCTTCAGGAAAAATACAAATCCATCCAAGGTGATAAAAATCTAATCCCAAAGGGGACCACTAATACAACTCCACAGAAAATGAGTATTTTTATTACCTGTTCAAGACAGTCTTGTGGTTTCAAACCATTCCAGTAAAACAATTAAAAAAAACAGCTCTATGAATAAGACAGTTCTTTTAACTGAGACAATCTATTCTGCTTTTTACCTTTCAGTAATGTAATGTTCATTTTTAGTATACCATTTAGTACTGTTGTCATTATCAGAAACCTTGATCACGATCAAACCTTTGTCCTGAACTGCTGTCACATATAACATACATTTTACTAAGAAACACAAAACAAAAAGGAAAACTCGTATCACAGTGGCAGCTAGCAAGCTCTCAAGGTTCCTAGTAGAAATTTTTCAGCTTGGAATTGTATTTTATATTAATAAACAGCAATCATTATTGACTGTAGTCAGGGGAGACACTTGCTTTTGTCTCCTCATATACCTTTAATGCTTGATAAGATTACTTTTTTGGGTTAACTAGGCCAGCAAATGCCTTTTAATACATTAATCCTTGCATGGAAGAAGCTGTGTTTCTCCTAGAAAGAAGAAGGATTTTTTAATTTGATTTGCCTTCAATTTATTAGTTACCAGTCTGTCTTGGAAGTGGATAACACTAACACAATGTATGGAATAACTCCCATCAACTGAATAGAAGACACAAACAAGTCTGAAGATCCTCTGATGTAGGTCTCTGCTCCTGCCCACTGATTAGCACAATATCTGTTAGCAGCATGGAATAGACCATTTACATTCCATACTCACAGATTCAAGAGAGAGAAAGAAGAGAAATTTGCAACCCAGCATCAAAAAAAGTTTACATTGGCCAAGTGCAGAAATATAGCAAATGCTACTACACAACGGCAGAAGAGGTTTTCTGGGTATAGTAAGATTTTTGCTTTGTCTCTGCTGCTATGCAATAGGATGGCAAAATTGTTATTCAAACGGTAGAACAGTGGGAAGGCCCCACTGTCATATAAAGGAGAAAAGTCATACAGAAAAGGAGAAAGATTTCAGAAAATAATCCAGTAAAATAAATCCAACATGCCAAATCCACACCAAAACAAACAAACAAAAAAATCCCTCTGCTTTGTCACCTTCAAACAAGCAATTTTAAAGCAACTTCTACAGTCTAATGCTTGCACTAAAAACAAAATGTTACGTGCAATAGAAATAACCAAGCCTACAATGGCAGCTGAAAAAAATTTAGAGAAGAAAAAAGCTTGGGTAGAAAGACAGAACATTCTCCACAGAGCATCATAATCCACATCCACAAATTGCCTTCTTCGCCAGGAATGCAAACAGCAGTTACTCTCTACTCATAGCCATACTTTTAAAATAATTGTTTTCTGCAAGCAACTCTTCAGTTAAGTACATGGTGTATCACTTAAAATACATTTTCAAATTAGCTTCTCCAGTGTATAAGCTATATTTACTCACGTTTTACAAAACAAAGTAACATAAGCAAAATCAGAGCAACACAACGGCAGAGTTATTCCACAGCTCAGTACAGCAAAGGCAGATTATCTTCATAGTAATTTTAAAAAACGCTAAAAAAATGAGTGCCACAGGCCTTTTGTCTTACCATTGCAAGTTCCTCCTGTAACTCTCTGCAGGTTTTTTCATTATTCCCTAGTCTCTCAGAGAGGTCTTTAATCACCTTCTTCTTTTCCTCAATTTTCTCATTCATTTGCTTGTTTGTGGAGAAACACTCTCTTTCTAATCTGTAAAGTTACAATATTAGAACACTTATCAAAAATACTTTCGTCAAGTATACTACATACTTTTAAAGATAATCAGTGGATTTGGCACATACCATGTTAGCACATCATATGTCTTCTGAAGTTGTTTGGTTTTGGGTTTTTTTTAACTGAAGAAAGTTATATATTTCTTCTATGAAAGGATTTTCAGTAAGTGGTTACAGTTTTTCATGCTTGTGTTAGGCTTGTAGTCAAATTTATTTGTTTGCTTGCATATTGTCTCCAAATTACATACAATAAACACAACTGATCTTATTTTAATTAACACAGTAGCTCTCTTCAGAAAGACCATGTCATATCTTGCATAATCAACCCTCATTTCAACTACAAAGCTTGTTCCTAAAGTTTCCACCAACCTGACTATATTATACTCAAAAGGGCATTACTTCAAATTTTTCCACCAGCAGACTGTTCACAAAATTTCAAATAGTTCTTGTACTGTATCTGTACTGCTGGTACTCAGGAAAACACATACGTAAAGAAGCTGGTGCAGCTAAACAGGTAATTTGTGAGAAAGCTACAAGATCAAACAACAGCATAGACAAGACAGAAGCTGGGACAGGGATCCAAGAAAGAATTTAGAGATTGCCTGAGTGTGTAGGCATGACGTCAGGAAAGCCAAAAGCTCACTTAGAATTGATGTTTGCAAGGGATGATAAAGACAACAAGAAGAGACTTTGCCACTACTTTAAGGTAGGAAAGAAAACATGGACCTGCTTCTACACAGACCAGGTACTCTATCAACAGCAGACTGAAGAGAAAGTCACCACACTCAATGCCCTTTTTGCCTCAGTTTTCCCAGACAAGGTCTCACAAGCCCCTATGTCAGTGAAAGGGCTCAAAGAGGAAAACAATTGCTAGCAGTAGGTGAGGATTGAGTCCAGGATTACATAGTAATTACAGTAAGAACTCAACCCATAGAAATTGAAGAGGCCAGCTCTCCTGCCCTCCAGGGTTCTTACAAAGATGGCCAATGTCACAGGGAGGCTGCTCATTATCACCTTTTAAAGTTCACAGAGATTGGAAGCGGTCCCTGGCAAACGGAGAAAGGCCAATGTCACACCGCTATTTGGAAAAGGGAAAAAGGACAGGCTAAGGAACTACAGATCAGTTAGCTTCATTTCAGTCCTAGGAAGGTCAGGAAGCAAGTCCTCTTGGAACAAATATCTGAGCTCATGAAAGAGAAAAATCACAGAATCACAGAATCACAGAATGAATCACAGAATTATGGGGATTGGAAGGGACCTCAAAAGATCAT